AAGACAATAGAATGGCACTGATTCATGATGGTCATTTGGCGAGGTGGTGCAGACATGATGGATTGAATGGTCTCCCTCTATACTGCAGCAGTTCTGTGATCTTCTGGAAAAGAAGAGTGAAGACTAATATGAAAAAAAAAGTATTTTCCAGGAGTGGCAAACATTAATGTATGTATTAAACAGCAGGCTGAATTTTAACTGAATTGAGAGGCTTGTTCAACATCCTGGAATTCTGTGTCTAATGGCATTTTTAATATCCCAGCAGCCCAAGAAATACAATGGTTCAATAAGTCAGCTACCCATCACCTTCTTCAGTTAGGTATAGGCGATAAATGCTGGGCTCAGCTGGGCTCATCAGTGACAATCGCATCATTTGAATGAATAAAAGAAGTGAGAAGATGTGGAGAGGGGTGGAGGCTGTGGGTTCTAGAGTCAGCCTCACCTCCCTATGGGGATGCTGCTATGGCACTTTGCTAGTAATGAGGAAGGCAGCACAGAGTCATTGCACCAGGCGTCAATTCAACCACAAAAGCAGCAATTAAGGACCATCTCCCCTTCAGCTGGCATTTTACTAGCAGGGTAACAGTGTGGATGGGAAGCATGAGACTCTTGGCATGCAGGGAGACTGTTACATAAGTCCTGGCAGCCTCCTGGTATGTACTGGTGGGGGAGGGGGAGCCTTCCTATTTGGGCACACACCTCTATTTTCGAGCTTATTAATGGTATCCCCACTCAAGCACAGAACTAGGATGAGTACATATAACAATTGTAACAAATGGGCACTAGCCTCTGGCTAAATTCAAAGCGAAAAAATATTGTCTATTTCTAAAATGATACCATTACCAGATCAACAGCAAACAGCCAATTTTAACCAAAACCAGGCAATTTCCAAGTATTGGAAAGATTGATTATTATTATTCCATTCAGTGACATTAAACAACATGATAATAAGATAACATTTTGCAGTAATATTTAAATAACATTTCTGATAAACTAAGCATGCGGTGATGTTATTTAAATATCGGGATGGATTTTAAATTTTGTCAAACAAGTTTGCAGTTTTGATGCAGATAGCACAAAAAGAAATCTCTGTAAATTACATTTGCCCTGGATGTCATTACATCTCCAATACTCCCTTCCCACATGTTTTAATTCCTGTATAATCTATTTATTTTTCACTTGAACAAAATAAGAACAGTATGTCCTAACTAGTTTTCTCACACACTCCTTTAAATTGCCTGTCTTCTCTGTTGCGTAGTTGGTAGCCTGCCCTCTTTAGACATGGCTTATGGTTTCTCAGAGTTACCACAGGCTTTATTGTTACACACCACTTCCTTCCTGTGAGCTGTTGAAGAGTCTCTAAACGGGCTCAGGCAATAAATCTTAAACCGCTGTTGGAGTGGGGTGAATATTCTGTTCTTAAGAATTACTGTGTGTCTTGAGATAAAAGAGCAAGGTAGTTTCAAACACATCGGGAAATATTTCATTCGAGGAGCACAAAATTATCCCTCCGATATTTGCCTTTGAAAATGATACGCGTAAAATCGGTCTCTCAGTGAAATTAGGGATCTGTGACCTTGACCGCGGAAAACCAATGATACACTTTATTGTCAGGAGCAAGGCTTTAAAATTAAGTCAGTGTTACAATTTCTTATGTTAATTTTAATAACATTTGTTGAATTTTCTAGATTTACATTAACTCCATTTGCTAGCAACTCATTTGTTGATAGCTGGTTAAAATTAGATGACTGAAAGATCTTACACAGTGATACAAGGAGTGAGTGTCTAATCTATACCCTGCTCTCTGCTAATCATTCAAAACTCATGCATCAATTTTATTGCCACATCCAGAAATGTAATTTGATTTCTTTTTTACTAAAGGTACGTCTGCTTTGAGAGCCTCTTTGATTGGTTTAACAAGGAATTCAGCCTTGAAATTGAGCACAAATTGGCCAAATTAGTGGAGGAGTGATCCAATTTACTTCCCCACTCACAACCAACTCCTTACCACTGAACTGCTTCAATTGACTTTAACTTTATATCAATGCCTTGTCTTCACTCACATTGTTGGCTGTCGACCCCAAAGGTGCTATTAAATATAATCCTAAAATGGAGAGCTCTTGTGGCACAGTTTTAGTGTCCCTACCTCTGGGCCAGGAGGCCTGGATTTAGGTCCCAGCTGCTCCAGGGGTACGTAAGGGAACGCCACACACCTGGCCTTGTTATTACATAGCCTGCCATTACACATTACATATTGTTAGCGACTAACAGCCTTCATTAAAAGCTATTCACCCTCCCAGCTAACTCCTTCGTCTGTACAACTGTCTTCTCTCTCTTTGGGTTCTATCCCTACCTATCGTTTACTCCATAACCCTACCCCAAGCATATCTTCTGCATATAAACTGACATTTTCCTAGCTGTCATCAGCTCTGAGGATGGGTCAGTGGACCAGAAACATTAACTCTGATTTCTCTTCACGGATGCCGAGCTTTTCCAGCAATTTCTGCTTTTGTTTCTGTCTTATGTTGTCATTCTCTTCTCAATATATTGATCCATCTTGCAATACCATGTGTCCTCAGTACATTTTCCAGATCAGCTTTTGTACATAAACATGGACAGATAAGTGTCTTGGTGGCAGAATGACCATAGGGGCTTCACCGCTGATAATGATTCTTTTCTCATTAGAAAGTCTGACTGTACAGTGACTTTTCCACAATAGTCACTCCAGGGTGTTAGAATTTTAGGTATTACCCCAACCATCAAGGAGCATTCAGGCCAGCCATATGTAGGCGGCACAGTGGCTCAGTGGTTAGCACTGCTGCCTCACAGCACCAGGGACCTGGGTTCGATGCCAGCCTCGGGCAACTGCCTGTGTGGAGTTTGCACATTCTCCCCGTGTCTGCATGGGTTTGCTCTGGTTTCCTCCCACAGTTGAAAGATGTGCAGGGTAGGTGGATTGGCTGTGCTAAATTGCCTGTAGTGCCCAGGGATGTTTGGGTTAGACATGAGAAATTAGGGGAATGGGTCTGGGTAGGATGCTCTTTGGAGGGGCAGTGTGGACATTTTGGGCCAAATGGCCTGTTTCCACACTGTAGGGATTCTGTGATTGTCTATGATTACCCTGAACGCCACTCCAGCTGAGGTCAGGTAAAACAACACTGTTTTACTGTAACCTAGCATTTGGGTTGACTAAAGGAACATGCACCGAATCTTAAAAACTTTTTTTTTTGAAAAGGAGCTTCTCTGAATAAGACAGTTAAAGCAAACTTGCAGGTAGAGATTTGAAAGTGACAGCTTGGGTGTTTTCCCTCAAAAGTCCTCCTTTTTCACGTCATAGTTAAAATTGTGTCTGCATTTGGTCTGCACTATGTTCACTCATGATCCTTTTTGATGGCCTAGTTTAGATGTGTCTTCAGAGCTTGGTGGAAATTGACACCAATGACCTGATATTCATGCTGCCATTCAGGCTAACATCTATCTCATGAGTGGCTCATTTTAGTCGATGGTCTGGCTGATATTAGGGAAGTAAGTGATGCTAATGCCATTGAATGCCAAGGGAACGATGGTTAGGGACATTTGAGTGGCAAGTAACATTTGTACCACACAAATGCCAGTCAAAGATGATCACTAATAAGAGATATTCCAAACATTGTCCATTAACATTCAACGATGTTGTCATCTTTGAATATGCCACTATCAATGTTGTGGGAGTTACCATTGAGCAGAAACTGACTCGTCATGTAAATAGAATGGCTATCAGAGCAGAGTCTAGGAATCCTGCAGCAAGTAACACAGCTCCTGACTTCCCAAAACCTGTTCACCATCTGCAAGGCATAAGTGAGAAGTGTGATGGACTACTCCCCACTTGCCTGCATAAGATCAGCTCCAAAAAACACTTGAGAAATTTGGCACCATCAGGACCAAACAGTCCACATGATTGATACTACATTTAGAAACATTCACCCCCACCTCCACACCCCCCCCACCCCCTACCTCACTACCAACGTTCAGCAGCACCAGTGTGTCCCATCCACAAGGGACACTGCAGAAATTTGCAAGAGATGCTTAGACAGCAACTCCTAAACCCACGACCACTTCCATTAGAAGGACAAGGGCAGCAGATACAAAGGAACAGCATTACCTGAAAATTCTCCTCCAAGCCATTCACCATCCTGACTTGGAAGTATATTGCCATTCCTTCAGTGTCACTGGGTCAAAATCCTGGAATTCCCTCCCTAATGGCATTGTGGGTTTATGTACAGGATTCAAGAAGGCAGTTCATCACCATCTTTTCAAAGCCAACTAGGGATAACTAATAAATGCTGACCCAGCTAGCAATGCCTACATCCTGTGAATTAACAAAATAACATTTAAAAAGTGAGATTGCGCTATTTGCATTTTAAATCAGCCATCTCACTGTTGGCCTAAACCTGATACTCTTGAAATTATATGTCAATATTTGTGCATAATTTAGTTAAGTCTATTTAAGTTAACAGGATAAATAATCAAATGTGAAAGTGTTAAGCACTCATTAACAAAAGTTGAAATAGCATAATTTCAGGACCAGTACACCTTAACTATTTTAAAAATATTGTAACTGCTTTGACTAAGGTTGATGTTGATTAAATGAAAAAAAGATATTTGCCGTGGTACGCAAGCATTTTATGAAGTAAATCAGAAATAGACGAAACTGAGCATAAAAACAACTTTTATCCCATTGTTGCAAAACTTTACAGCGTCATCAATTTCTTCCAAACTGCTAATAAATCAATAAGCTTTTTCTGCCATGTTTTAATCCTGTTGTATGGGGCTATGGAATATTTGAAAAAATTAAGTTAATGTATCGCATGATGCAAATCTCCCCTTGGTACTTGGGTGGTTTGTATCTTCCAGAAGTTAACTTATATTCAATGCAAATGTGCATCTGCTGTGCTTTGAGTTTGTGTAACAGTCTGGAAATGCAAATGCCCTTTTGATGGATGGGTCTGTTTGATTTTCAGATACGCAGGTGTGTGATTTTGGCTGGCACAAATTCCAAGGACACTGCTACAAATACTTTGGTCACCGGCGGGCTTGGGAAGATGCAGAGAAGGAATGTCGTCTGCAGGGTGGTCACTTGGCCAGCATCCTCACACACGAAGAGCAACTTTTTGTGAACCGTATGTACTGTGACAATTCTGAAATGGTTCTTTCTTAAAAAGAATATGCACAGGAGAACTGAGGAAATTGTCTGCCAGGGTGACGGAGTCAGAAAAATGTGTGGCTGCAAAAATCCCCAAAGATAAATACATAAATGTGGGTTATCAATTTCTGCACCAAGTGATTAGTGTCGATGAAGAGCCAAATTATTCATAAGTTGTTCTCAGTTCTTTTTAATAGAATAAAACAAGATTAAAAAGGAACCTTTTTTCATGCTGAAAATCTGAAGTTAGAACAAAAAATGCAAGCAGATTCAGAACAGCAGAAAGAATAAGGTCAATATTCCACACCATGTATGATGAGCAGTCCCATCGAAAATATTGACCTTTCTTTGTTTTTGAAACAACACCCTGTGTATTTACAGCATTTGTTCCAGTTACCAGAAAGCAAATTAATATAGTTTAGTTTAGAGTCAGCCAGACACGTTACCAGTATCTCAGTAATCAAACGAGAACAACTCTAATGAACAGAAATGTGAAAGAGCCGAACGACTGCATTTGTGATAGTTAGCAAGGATTTTTTAAAAATTTCAGGAGAGAAGGAGGGTAGGAAAAGTGGTGAGAAAATAAACCAAGACGAAAGAGGTTCACTTGTATTAAGATAGAAATCCCAGAAAGATTGGATGAAAGACAACCAGTCATCAAGATTTTTGTTTGAGATCTACAGAACAGGAAATGCAATTCATATATACATATAAACTTCCTGATGTTGCTGGATTAATCATTGCCATACATGGAATTGTTTTTAAATACATCCTTCCTTGTTTTATCTGCCCCATAGGTATTGGCCAGGACTACCAATGGATTGGCCTAAATGACAAAATGTTTGAACATGATTTCCGTTGGACTGATGGAAGCCCTCTGGTTAGTCTTTGAAAAATTTTTTCACTTTTATATCATTCAAATGAGAAACCCTAAGGGATCTGTGAGCAGGCAGTGTGGCCTAACCACAAGTTTCTAGACAAGCATTATCATTGTTAAATGCATGATTGTTATAAAAACTACACTGCTAACTTTAATCTGCAGATGGGTTAGTTTTTTCAATAGAACAAGCATATGAAAAAATTACTTATGATTATAATGCATTCATATGTTGAAATATCTCACAATGTAATAGCCCAGACTGTTATAGCTAAGGAGAAGTGTTCATATAAATTCCAACCTCTGGTTTAGACTGTAATTCTTGTGATCAGAAATTTGAGTCATCTAAATACAGAGAAAGAATTTCAAGATTGCATTAGGAAATGTGTGTTTTTTTTTAACTCATCGAGAGCTGTTAAATGTCCCAGTGGAGGTAGTTAAACTTGTGGATAAAGATATTCATTATGTAATTATTTGTGAATTGCATGTCCTGTTGAACTGTAACTGCTATCAGATAGAAGCAAAATTAAGACTCATATACCTGTCTACTTAATGGCAACAGTTCAGACAAACATGCAAACATGCTTGCTCCAATGTGATAACAACATCCCTCATTGCAGCCACATAATACACTACCTTACCAGAAATTAATCGGATATATATCCAAGGCCATGACTTCCTCACTAAAGAATGAGGGCTATGTACCAAGCAGGCTGTCTCTATGTTGACTTTTGCAATCTATTGAGAATTAAAGAAACAAGAAAAGGCTAGAATGGGGAAAGAGAAGTTCTCACAGCACTGATAACATGTGGCCGTCTACCTCTGAAAGTAAATTGCCTAAATAATTTCTTTAATTGATTTATGATGGTTCAGTTCAAACTATTTTTGTGCTCATTCCTAATTGCAAACAGTACAGCAACATTGTGAATCATATTGATATTCATGGTCGTTCATTCCAGCATTTGATTGTGAGCCACTAATACAATGTAGATATAAATTAAGAGTTATAGTTTGACTGAGTAATGAAGAGCCAAAAGAAACTCCACTGTTGACACTTCAGCATGTTATTTAAAAAAAAGAGTTTATAAGGTGAACCATCAAACAATCCCCATTATTAAAAACCTGGCAGAAATACGTTTAGAGCATAATTCTTCCCCTTAAAAATTCTTTGCAATTCCACAGACTTTACGTACTATGCTGTTTGAATTATTAGCATTATTTGACTATATAAGGTATTTCAGTGTGATAGTGCTAGTTTCATTTCAAGCCTGTTCCTGAATACAGCCCAAAAAAGCATCCAGTGCATTACACCAAATGCTGTTGGTGATCTGGCAGACATATTTATAGATTTTCTGTACTGAGCCATTCCTAAGACCTGTTGCTGAGGTACACACAATGTGCTCCAGCAGCAGTTGTTAATATAATTGAGCTTTTATGAAGAGGTGAGTCACCTCTGCATGTGGTAACTTAGTTTAGATCACCAATATTGTAAATGTAAGTTGAGACATAAAACTCCCAAGACATTGTGCAGAAGTGGTGTATATGACAGATTTCCCTCACTGAGACAAAATCCAGTGGGAGAAATCCTGAGTTGGTTTCTTCAGAGAAGAAAAGTCTCCTTGATGGTATGTTTGTTTTTGATGCAGCATAATTAGTCTAGTATCGTTGGCCAGTTTGAGCATTGTGTAATGATGATCGCATGGAAAATCAGTAAAGAGCCCCTCCAATCTGCACTATATTACTTAGTGATGCACTGATGGGGAAAACATACATGAGTGTTTTACATTGGCTGAAAACTGTTAAAATCTTTGATGGAAGCATACTTTCTACCTTTTTTTAAAAAAAAAATTTCAGCATTTCGACACTATCATATTTGCTGCATAAATTGTAGAACAGATTCTGTCATAGTAGAGAAGACCATTCATTCCTTTGTATGCGTGTTACCCGCTGCTTTCCATTGAGCCCCTATTCCCTTCCCCATACTGTTGAAAAGTCATATTTTTGAAATATATATATATATTCTATTTCAAAAGCCAAGACTGATTCTGCTTCCATCTGTGTTTTTAGTCACAGAGTGCATATCCTTACAATCATCTTAAATTGTCTTAACCTGTCCTTTCATTCATTTGGGTCATTATTTATTTATCTCCCTTATTGATTGCTCAGTGGAAATTGTTTTCTCAGTGTATCTCAAAAAATTAGTAATTTTGAGCACATTGATAGGGTTTCCTCTTGACTTCATTCATGAAGAGCCCCATTTTCTCTAGTGTGTCCTCACAGTTAAGACCAATAACACTGTTACTATCATTAATTAATGGTAGTAGAAAATAACTTAAATACAATTTTACCTAAGTTTTTTTCTTTTTTATTCCCTGAAGACATTGAAATGTATTCACTATTCTTCCAAAATGCACTAAATTGACTGTGAAGCACTGTGAACTTCTTGAGCTCATTGATAGATATAAATTCCATTATCCTCCAATTTCTTACTCATGGCCACTCTTCATGGCTTGTAGAATATTGAAAAAGCCAAAGACATCATGTGGAACTCCTTCTTACCCCAACACCTGCCACCCTACCTTACCTCATGCATATCCTTCTTATTATTCTCCCTTCCTTTCCCCAAGAAATAATTCCTAATATGTGTAAGTCAGGGCGATTAGCACAGCTTACTGACCAGCATCCAATTGTCTCTTCAGCACAATGTCCCTGTGTGCTCCATGGCCATCATTCTTCTTGACCCTTAGTTCCCACAAGTCAGCATCGACAAACCAACAGCCTCACCACATCAATAGATTTGCTCTTGGACCAACTCACAAGTGACTTCAGCTCCACAATGCTTTACTGTGGAAGTCAGTGACACCTGTGACATGCTTGTTCTGCCAGGGCACTTTGTGTGCAGGGACAGACACACACCTTGTGCATCTACACAGGATGCATCTTATCTTGTCTTGCTTTATTAGTGCACACTCACTTTGTGCTCACTTGTAGGCTGCCCATTTGCGCTTACTTCACATTTCATACTGAGCATAGTTGTCGGGGCAGGCGGCTTGTTATGGTGGGGATAACCAATCAATCAATGTCGTTGTGAGCCACTGTGCTATATCAATGTCACACCTACAGTTGGTGACAAAAGGTTACATGGCAATTGCACTGCGTATGCCTCAGGAAAATTGTCATAAGTGAAAGTCTAAAAGAGAGCAGTCTATAGTGAGGTCAAAGGGGATGATAATCAGTCAGGAAATGCCAGCACTGCCAGTCAAGGATCTCATCCAATTCCACTCCAAGGGTGTTGGCCACAATCTGTTAGAGACTTGGTTCAACCAGTGTTTTGGGATCAGCCCAGGGATTGGACCATGGCCAGTTCTGCAGGTCAAGCACAAGCAGTACAGGGATTACAGGTAGATCAGTTAAGATGCTGTGGCGACATCAGTCTGTGAGGTTGCGCCAGATTTTCCTGCATTCTCATTTTTTCTTTCTTTCCGAGGCCTAACTATTGGGTGGGTATCTCTTCTGGGTGCCACTGAGAGCCTGCCTTTTGGCTTAAGCAGCCATTTTTCATACCTGTGCTGTAGTCACCGAATGTGAGATCATAACTGAGCTCACCTCACACAATTTCAACAATGAATAGGAACCTTTCCCAACCCAGCAGCTCAACATGGCACCAAACTGGGATCACATGTAGCTACTTCAACCCATATGGCCCAGCCTTGTCCAACTGTGTACAATTTTTTTATTCTCGTCTGCTCTAAGGACCACTAAAGCAGTTCCTGAAATAGATCAGAATACCCTGTTGAAATGCTGACCATTCTTAACAAATCACACTATTCACTGCTCACCAAACAGTTATAGATGAGACCAAAACAGAAATTGCTGATGAAACTCAGCAGATCTGGAAGCATCTGTGGGGAGAAAGCAGAGTTAACGTTTTGGGTCTGGAGTCTCTCCATCAGAAAACGAGGGGAGTGGTGTTAGTGGGAGGAGAGGTGAGCGGATAATTGGAGATGGAGCCCAGAGAGAGAGAGAGATGAAAGGGGTAAGTGGATGAGAGAAATACTGATTGTAGGCCAGGGCAGAGAGAAGCTGAATAAGTAATAATGAGAGCTGAGAGTAGGAAGGAATGGGTAAGCTGTACTGAAAGCAACCCATGCCATAACAGGAGTAGGAGTTGGAGTGGGTGAAAAACATGGAAGGATTGAAGCTGTATCTAAAGTTATTGAACTCAATGTTGAGTGTCAGAGGCTGCTGGGTCCCCAGGTGGAAAATGAGATGCTGTTCTTGGAACTTGTGCTGAGACGCACTGGAACACTGTAGCAGGCCAGCGACAGAAGCATTAGTGTGGGAACGCAGTGGTGTATTGAAGTGGCAGGCAACTGGAAGGTCAGGGTCATTTTTACAGACAGGACATAGGTGTCCTGCAAAACGGCCACCCAGCCTGCGTTCTTCTTCCCAGTGTAGGGGAGACCGCATTGTGACCAGCGAATACTATAGAACTGATTAAATGAAATGCAAGTAAATTGCTGCTTCACTTGGAAGGGGTGACGAGAGCTTTAGACAGTCAGGAGAGAGGAGGTAAACAGGTAGGTGTTATACATTCTGTAATTGCATGGGCAGGTACTGCGTGGGTGAGGGAAGGTGTTGGGACTGGAGGAGGAGTGGACCAGAGTATCCTGGAGGCAACAGTCCCTGCAGAATGCTGACAATGGAAGGGAATATGTGTCTGCCTGTAATATCCCGCTGGAGGTGATAGAAATGGGGCTTCCAATCATCTGAATGCGGAGGCTGGTACAATGGTAAATAAGAACCGGGGTACGCTGTCATTTTTGCCAGGGGGAGGGGGTGGAGAGAAGAGAAGGGGAGAGGGCAGAAAATGCAGAGATGGGTAGTACAAGGCTTAGGTCTCTCTGCTTCTTCCTGGAAAGGCCTGAACTGCCCCCATCCACAATCACCTCCTCTGCCTGGCCGAGCTCATCCTCACTTTGACAAATTCTCCTTAAACTTTA